CTGTTTAACTGACTCGGGCCAGTCCAGGGGCACTGAGCCATGGGAAGATCCGTGCTTGCAATTCAGCATTTGGCCTCTGTGGGAAATGGATTTTAGTTAGGAAATCAAAAATGCATGAGGTACGTTACAGTGTGTTAGGAGCAATGGGAAGCATGGGGATCACCTCACAGCGTCACCGTCCTCCTCCTGCACCAGCCCTTCCGCTGCACGGCGCTTTTTGGCTGTTGGGCACTGAGAAGACAGAGTTGGAAGTCATCTCAACAGGACCACCACTCTGCAGCTCCACAGTGAGAGCCAAAAGAGGCTAAAAAGCAGAGGATCTGTTCAAACTTGACAAGGTTCATGGTTCTTTCTCTTCCTGCTTGAGAGACTGGCATCACCACCTGGGGTTCAGGCACTGGTCTGAACAGGCAGGATGGCAGTGGCCAGCGTGTCCTCACCACCACACAGCTGTGCCTCCCCAAAGGGCTGTAGGCCAGAAAAGGGTCTCAAAAAACAACTCTGTGGTCTCTAGAAAGGAAGCAGTAGAATCTGAAGTCCTTTCTTTGTTTACAGGTGTAAGTGAGAGCTCCTCTAAGCTGACCTACAGACCTCACCCCTACCAACAGGAGCCACCTTGTCAAGGAACACCTCTGCATGCCATGTCAACTCCACAGCTTTCCTCCTCTCTCTTGCCTTCATCTTTACCCCTGGCATTTAAAACCAGTGTCCATGTGATATCTTTAATGGCATGTGGCCATTTTTCTCATGCTTCCCACTGCTGATGGAAAACGTAGCACTAGCTCAGAGCTCTCCCTGCCAGGCTCAGACTCTCAGCTGGGCAGAGCACAGGAACTTGGAGCTGCCTTTGAGTGCACTCCTGGGAGTTTGGTTCCTTCCCTTGGTGTCTAAGGAGGCTTAGCATTCAGTGCCTCTCGTGCCTCACCTGTTCCATGTTAAGCAGCTTTCTCTCTGCACCTCCCAGCTCACTCAGAGCCTGCTGGGAGTGAATCCAACCTAACTGAGGCTGGTGGTGGAAGCTGGTGTTAATTCCAGGGGTTTTTCTTTGAAAACAAGGGAGGGAGAACTCCTGCTTTTGACAGTCTCATTGCAAAGCTGCCCTATGACTAAAGCAGGCTCGTGTAGCAGGGTAGAAGGAGGTGGAACTCCACACTAAGGACAGAGTAAGGTGTCCCTGTCTAGTGTCCCACAGCTCATTTGTAAGTTTTAGTTCACTGTATATTGAGACTTGGGATGTTACTTTTTCTGGTTGCTCTTGGCTGTCATCCTGTGAACGTTTTTACCTGTGTTCCCTCACTGATGACTCCCTCCAGACTGACATGTGTGAGTGTGTGAGGACCTGCCTGGTTGTAGACATGCTCTGATGTGTGGACTCTGCCTTGTGCTCGTTAAGTGTCACGGAGTGACTTCATCCAGGCTGGAGAACTCCTTTCTGCCGACCCCCCGAGCAGGAGGAACGGAGTGCTCAGCACAGCTCACCTGTGCATCCTGCAGGCACGGTGCCCAGGTGAGCCAGGTGGGCCCTCTAAACACCAGCGTGGCTGCTGCATTTCACAGACTGCTTTCCTGGGCCACCAGGTTAATATATGTACACACTTTTATGCACACATACATATATATAATAGTTTTGGTGGAGGAAGGAGGGATTTGCTTATAACAGAGAGCAGGCACGTGACCAATTTCTTTCAACCTGAACATGGAAACCCAGCATCATCTTTGTTTTCACAAAGCACTGTTTATATCCAGAGAGCTTTTTAACTAGCTTTTGTTGCATAGTATAACATCACCTTCTCTTCCCTCTCTTCCTTCTTTCTCTCCAGCACATAATCTTCTGTACTAGGACATTTTAAAAGATGATTGTATGGTTTAAGTGCTCAGAGAATTGAAGTTAAATTGGGGGTGGAGGTTTAAAACCCTGAAACAGCAGCACAATATATAAGCACGTGTATGTACATGCCTATGTACACATGTTTTATGTGAGTAATGCATACACAGGCACATCTGTGTCTGCACATGTGCACATTTTCCTCAGTTGCTACTATCCCATAGGGAATTCTATTCTGTATTAAACTCATATGCTGGAAACTGCCTTCGTGGCAGGGCTGGTACCAGGAGCTCTGCAGTGCAAACCTGTTTTCATGTTGATGAGCCAGTGTCAGAAAGGCTCTGCTTTTAACTCTGTAGAAATTCATTAGCAAGGTGAAAGAAACTCAGTAGAGTGGAAAAGAATAAATCTGCATATTTAGTCATTGTATGTAAATTGGGGCTTGGTGGAGATTTGGTCGGTGTATTCCTGGGCAATCTCGGCCTGTTACAGAAGCCTTTGGATTCTCATTCCAAAGGACACAACCCTCACCAGATGCTCAGTGGCACTGATGTTAAGATACATTGTCTTAAGCTGTACAAAACATACTGAGCTCTGGGTTGAAGCTTTTAAGAAACATTCCTGCCGAGTTTGCCCTTCTTTGGTGTTATCTGAACCATCTGGGCTTCCTGCTGGTTAACCAAAGGCAGGAAATCCAGCTGGACTCCTGGAAGAGGCCCTGGGACAGCCTTGCACCATCACCTTTTCTTCATAGGAATGTTTAACATTCAACATAATTGTCTTTGCTCTGATCTGTATAATGGGATCTTTTTTTAAAAAAAGTGGCATGGAGCAGGAGTCACCAGACACTGAAGCATAGGAATTAAAGCACTTTCTAAAATCCTTAACTTAGGTCTAGCGCCTTTTTAAAAATATTTGCATGCTGCTTGAATCTTCTAAAACACATACCTCTGCCAGAGCACCTGGGGCTGCGCCGGTGCCTTTTCCAGATCAGAGCAGGCAGTGCTCAGTCAGTCTGGGGTGTGTCAGTCTGCCCTCGCTGGAGTTTCAGTGAGGCACCTGTGTACCTGGACCTCTCCTGTCGGTGCTGGGCAGTGTGCACCAGCCTTTAAACAGCTGAGTGGAATTCCTGGGGGTCTGTTCTTGCTGTGTTCAAACACAGACTGGAAAAGAGAACCTGCAAAAGCCATAATTAGCTACAGAGATGGAACTGAAATGAGAACGCTGGTGCTGCCTGCTGCACTGTGCAGTGGGGGTTGACTCGCTGGGATCCAGGTGCTTACTGCCTTCTCCAGCCCCCTTTCTTTTTGAAGAGGTGACCCAGGATCCTTCTATGGGCACAGCTGTCGATGGCAACTCTCAGCTCCTTGGAGATACGCCCACCTCCGCCTTCTCTTAGGTGATCTGTAGAAAAAGAACCTGTCCATAGTTCTGTCCATAGTTTTACAGCTTATATTTATTTGTATCATCTCTTTTGTCTAGGAATGTAAAGTGATCCGAAAATAAAATGTGTAATAAAGTCAATAAGATTTATTGCATCTATCCAAACGTGTGTTTTTCATTGTCAATTTGGGGCAGGGCGCAGTGACTTCATGTTTTACAATGCTTCCTGTTATTTTTCTTTCATTAAAAAAAAGTCTGTGCAAAGTAAGCGGAAAAATATGAGTAGAATTGCAATGAGTATTGTAATGTGTATGTGAAAAAAAAATATATATATATATATATGAGTAGAAGGTGCTGATGCCTGCATGTGGCACTTTGGGAACCAGAAGTGCTGGTGGAACCCTGCCAGAATCCCAGTCCAGGGTGGGCTCCTGCAATGGGTGGTGCTGATTTAAACCAGTCTTTTATTGGCACCATGGGGAGAAGGAGCCTCGGAGTATAACCAGGATGTCCAGAGGAGGGAAAGGAAGGTGGGGAAGAGTCTGCAGCACTGTGCTGTGGAGGAGCCGGGGGGGTCACGCTGCAGAAGGAGGCTCCAGGTGCCCTTTCCACTCTCTCCACCTCCGTGAAAGGAGGCTGTAGCCAGATGGGAGTCGGGCTCTTCTGCCAACCGGTGACAAGAGGACACAGCGTTAAACAGTGCCAGGGGACGCTTACTTTGGACATCAGGAAGAATTTCTTGAGAGAAAGGGCCGTGAGGTGTTGGCAGGTGCTGCCCAGGGAGGCGGTGGAGTCGCCGTCCTGGCGGTGTTTAAGGACAGACGGGACGTGGCGCTCAGCGCCCTGCTCTGGTGGCCATGGTGCTGTCGGGTCATAGGTTGGACTCGCTGATCTCACAGGTCTTTTCCAGCCTAACTGATTCTGTGCTAACCGGGATGTTGGAACACCAATCGCCGCAGCCCTCAGCCGCGGGGGCTCAGCCTCGAGCCCTCAGCTCCAGCTCGGTCCCGCAGCCGCCCCCGGCCCGGGCGGCGCCACTTCCCCGCCGCGGCCATGCGGCGGCAGCGGCCTCTCCCGCCATGCAGCGCGGCGGCCGCCGGGACTTGTAGTCCGTGTGCTACAGCGGTGCTGCGCTGGGGTCGCGCAAGAAAACTACAACTCCCGGTGGTCCTTGCGGTTTGTTTTCCTTCAAACCAGCCCCAGGCCCGCCCCTCCAGTCCCTCCCCTCCAGGTCTTTTCCAGCCTAACTGATTCTGTGCTAACCGGGATGTTGGAACACCAATCGCCGCAGCCCTCAGCCGCGGGGGCTCAGCCTCGAGCCCTCAGCTCCAGCTCGGTCCCGCAGCCGCCCCCGGCCCGGGCGGCGCCACTTCCCCGCCGCGGCCATGCGGCGGCAGCGGCCTCTCCCGCCATGCAGCGCGGCGGCCGCCGGGACTTGTAGTCCGCGTGCTACAGCGGTGCTGCGCTGGGATCGCGCAAAAAAACTACAACTCCCGGTGGTCCTTGCGGTTTGTTTTCCTTCAAACCAGCCCCAGGCCCGCCCCTCCAGTCCCTCCCCTCCGGTCCCTCCGTGTCCCGCCGCGGCCACCGTCGCCGGGCCCCGCCGCCCCGCCCCGCTCCCGGCCCTTTGACCCCGTTGTTATGCCGGGCCCGAGTCGCCGCCGCCGCCGCCGTCTCCCGTAGCGCCCGGAGTCGCCCCCGCCTCGCGCCCCGCCCGCCGCGAGATGAAGCAGAGGAGGAAGAAGGAGCGCACGTGGGCCGAGGCCGCCCGCCTGGTGAGGCCGGGGGCGCGTCCAGGGAGGGGGCGCGGGGGCTCCGCCGTGCCTCAGGGCCTCCCCGCCGCGTCCGGCCCCTCCCCGAGTAACGGGGCCGGCGGCGCCGCCATCGCTTCTGAGGGGGCGAAAGCGGGGGCCGGGTCCGCCTGGAGGGCGCGGGCGGTGTTGCCGGTTCCCCGCCCGGTCCCGCGGCTTCCCGCGGTTCCCCCAGCGGCCGCTGTGGCCGGGCTCTCCTGCACGGTTGTTTTTCTTCCTCAGCCCGGTGCGAAGGAGATGCGCCCCGGGGCGGTGCGAGCGCGGGCCCCGGCCCTCCGTGGCGAGCTGCCCCCGCCGGGGGTCCCAGCGGCCTCCGCCGCCTCCCGCCGGGCGGGGCTGCGGCGGGGCCCGGAGGTGCCGCCGTCCCGCAGCGGTTCCGTGCCGGGCAGGGCTGCGAGGACGGTTCCGCTCATTTTCTTCCTTTCAGATGATTTTAAAGCTCCGTGGGAGGAACCGGAGCCTTCGGAGAGGGCACGGCCGCTGTCAGAAGTTTGTGGTTTAATTACCGAGGGTGCGGGGTCCTTCTGTGCACCGGCAGCGCCCGGGGGCCGGCGGAGTGTGCCGGGCTGCTGTAGCAGCAGCTGGGCTGAACATCCCTGAATCAGCCCGTATTTGGTCACTTTTGGGTTTAGGAGACGTGGCCATTGAGATGTCTCAGTCCTTTTGTCTTAAAGAATCTCCTTGTGGAAGGCTTCAAGTTGCAAGCCCAGCTCTGCTCTGGCGGTGTCTGTGGCAATGCCACTGTCATTGCACCGATGCACTGGGAGGAAGGTGGCTTCCATCTGTGAAGGCTTTGAGCTGGATCTGTCTTGAACCTCCGTTATGAAGTCGTAAATCTAAAAAATATAAATAACTTCAGTGTCTGTCAGGGAGCTAGTCAGAGGTTTGATTTAAGGACTGCCTGCCGAGGTGTTTAGGCTGGCTGGCATTTGGGTGGAAGGAGCTGGCTCTCTGCTGGTGACCCAGTGACACAGGTACAGCAGTGCCAGGCATGGAGTGAGGGATGATCCAGCTACTATGTGAATGGATCCTGCCGTTCCTCCCCACAGCCCTGTCAGTGGTGTACAGCTTGTGAGGATACTTGTGTTCCCTCTGTGTAGCCCCTGGACTTCTGCCGAAGTGGATTTATAGGGCTTGAGGGTGGTTTGTTTCCTTGTTTTTTCTCTTGTGTTTGTTTTGGTTTTGCTAGCCCAGGTTATGCATTGAAGCATGTAAACATTCAGAAGGAACAGTGTGGGTGAGTCCAATGAGGCTCATGTCTTGTACTGAGGATGTTCAGGATAACTCTTGGTGCTTCTGAGTAAGATTTTTTTGGCTATTGGAGTGTTTTCTTACTGCTTGCCAGGAGAAAACCTAATCAGACAAGCATCTGACTTCCAGCAACTTGCATCATCTTTTGTGTGTAAATTATAATATTTTAGACCCATGTGGCTTTGCTTGAAAAACTGGAGAAGAGCATAAGGCAGCTACTGTGGAACTTCACAGCAGGAGCTTGGTGGTCTCATTCTCCATCCTGCATTTCTTCTTAGGATCCAGGTTCTTTGAACCAGGTGTGTCACTGCAGATGGCAGGGATGCTTTTCTGGCAGGTGACCCTGGGGGCAGAGGCTGTACTATGTGACCTTGCACAAAGTCAGCTCATTCAAACATCCTGAGCTCTGACAGGTAAAAAAAAATCAGAATTTATAGGATGCCCAAAGCAGCACATGAGACTGTAAGTCTAAAGCAGTCACCTAATACACCTCATCACCCTTGTGTGGTGGGGAAGGCATTTCTTCACACAGTTCCTCTCACCTGTCTTCTGGCCAGGACCTCGGGCACAGTGGGTGCATGAGATGTCTAAGCCTCAGCAGCATCTTAGAGCCATTGATGAACCAGAAATAGAACGATCTCATACTAGATTATCCACTTAAAGAGACCTACAGTTGCGTAGCTGCACTTCCAGCTTGCAGGACTGATTGTAAATCCACTAAAAATAGATCTTTATTTCACACTAGGCTTACACATGCTCCCTGTCAAAATGCTTTTAATTTCCCTCTCTGACGTGTGCTGGTGTATTTTGTATTCTGCTCAACGTTTCTGAGAATCACAGGCAAAAATGTTCTTCAGTGTTGCTCCTCCTACAGAGCTAAAACTCTACACGTTCCATAAAATAAACTTTAAAGGTTCATCTGGATGCCCAAAGCCATGGCAGGATCCCACAAGTGCTGTCAGAGCTAGATGACCAGTAAATTGGGGAAGTCATGTAAACTTCCATAATTAGGGGCACAGGAACCCTCAGCTACCACTGCTGTGAATAGTGGAGGGGGGGAAATTCTGTTTTGGGGGTAAAGAATAGCCAGTGTTGAAGTTGTAGCTCTGGGTGGAGGGCTGATGTGGTGCTGGGAGTGTCAGGCTGGGGAGGGATAGAAGGGGCAGTGCTGGAGACTGGGATTTGGTGTCTGAAGCTTGCAGGATCCTCTCCTCCAGTTCTTCCATTAAGTGCTCTGTATACTTAATACAGCTCTTGATTGGAAATTGTTCCCCTGAGCATAGATTCTTTTATCCGTATGTAAATGCTCCTTTGTGCTCAGTTTTAGGCCACATACTTCACTTGCTGTGTCTGTCACTGGAGAGAGGTTTGAATAATTCCCTGATTTTTTGGAACAGACGTGTTGTATTTTGCAGATCTCGCTGGGCTCGGGAGCAATGAGTTTCCCCGTGTCAGCTGTCTGCAGCCTTTGAGTGATGGGGTGACAGCTCAGGAGGGAGGCATGGAGACCTTGTAACCTATGGAGGGAGGAAAAAGTGTGATGGAGCTGTATGGAATTTAATTAGTTTACTCTCTCTGAATAGGGCTCATCACTTGTTTTGGTTTTTCTTCACACTCTTTGTGTTTTCATTGGGTTTTAACTCAAGTCAGTTTTCTAGTTCTCTTCCCCATGAAGTTCTTACCTCATTCTCAGAAGCTTGTGAGCTTCAAGCATCTGCAGAATACCTGTTGGGTGCATATGATTAGAGAAATTCCATTTGTAGAGTCAAGGTTTAGATTGGAAGGACCTTTAAAGATCATCTTGTTCCACCCTCCTGCCACAGTCAGGGGCAGCTTCCACTAGTCCAGGCTGCTCCAAGCCCCATCCAGCCCAGCCATATCAAACATACAGTTGAAGGGCAGAACTGCACTTGGGTTTTTCATTACTTGTGGAGGGCGGAGATGGTCTGAGGTGCAAACGTTGGCCTGCACAGCTTTGGGGTGATTTTGCTCGTGTCCCATTGGCGTGGCTGCTGCAGTGACTCACTTCTAGATCTTACTGGTAGAAATGGGGCGTCTGGGTCCTTCCTCTGGCTTCCCACACGAGTCAGACCGAGAGACAGCGCCGTGTTGCTGACGCCTAAAACGTGGGGACAGATGACACCAGGGCTGTGCACCGTGTGGCCGTGATGCTGGGGGAATTTAGACCATGGTTATGAAGAAGTTCCTGAATGAATTCCTGTTGCTGCTTTCCATGCCTGTTCCAGGCCATGGCCTGTGCCTGTCTCAGGCTCTTTTTGCTCGTGGCCCCGGGTCTGTGGAGCTGGGTGCCTTTGCATTCCAAGAGCAGCACTGTCTGCTGCCGGGAAGGCGCAGGAGCCGGCGCGTGGTCGGCAGCTGTAGGGTAATCTGCTCCCAAAGAAACTGAGTGGTTTACATCTACTGCAGCTTATTTTTGCTCATTGTTTCCTGTTTATGTGGATAATCTTCTTATCCACAGAAATGTCCGGTCCTCTCTTTGAATCCTTGAGTTTTTGCTTGTAGACATTTCGGAGCAGTAAGTTCCACAGGCTTAAAAAAAAATAAAGTAATAACCTCTTTACTTTGTATATAAGTTACAATTCTATTCTTGTTATGATATATGAAAGGATGAGTTGTTATTTATTGTGTTGCCTTTTAATATCTGATTTTCTTCATTTTATGTCAAAGGCAAGCACTCTTAAGTCTTTTTAGTGTCTCTAGGCAATTTTTTTTCCCAAATCCTTTACTGATTTTTTGTCCTTTTCTGAATTCTGTCCTTCTCTGACATGAATTCTGACTCTAAACTTGTGGTTCCCTTCCTGGGATGGAGTGAAGATGAAATGAATGCAGTAATCTGAGGAAGGTACAGTATTGGATTGTATAGCTGCACAGCAATACTTTTAGTGACAAAAAACGACTGGATGCTTTGTGGAGAGGTAGGAAAAGGGTTTACATTGTTACGGGTCACCACTCTTCAGTTTGGAAGGTTTATGTGGCAGCAGCTCCATCTATTGTATAGTGAAGTCTGGTAAAGCTTCCATGGGGTGGGGTCAAGGCCAAATTCTGCTGCTTTTTCTCCTCCATGTTTGTATTTCTTGGGGAAGAGATGAAGGTGAAGTCTTTTGTGGCTTTGATCCATGTTCACCAGGATCTTGAGGTAGCCTGAAATTTTACTGTGTCTTTGCAGGTGCATCAATTTTGAGGGTGCACATTATTGGGTCGGGGCCACAGCTGATGGAGTAGTTCTGAGAATGCAGAAGGCAATTCTGTAATGACACTTGGTCTTTCTGTCTTTTCAGGTGCTGGAAAATTACTCAGATGCTCCTATGACCCCAAAACAGATTCTGCAGGTCATAGAGGCTGAAGGTCTAAAGGAAATGAGGTTAGTATTGATGATTTTGTCTAAACCACTGTGCAGCATGGGGGAGGCAGTGTATGAAGGCTGGTGTTGCTTCATACAGTTCTGCCTCATCCCCAGCCCACTTTGCTTCCCTTTTTCTCTTTTCAGCCTGGTAATTTCAGATGACAGTACAGACATTTATATACAGATTGTGAGGGCTTCTTTTTCACTGATAATAACTGGAAGATGTTCTTGGATTTTTAGATAATATACAGAGTCCCTTCCTCCATCTATTGTGAAGTAAATGCCTCTTGCAGATCAGGCTCCTGCATTGTGCTGTACTTACCACTCACTCCCATGGTTCTCACATAAGTAGCTCCCAGCAGTTTGTGCTATTGTGACTTGAGTTTGAGAACAGTTTAAGTTTTATCTCCTCTGATGCTTCATTTCTAGAGCAGACATTATGTTTTAGAAGAGACAGTCTTCTCTATGTCACTGGCTTGTGCTCAGATTCTTGAGCACCAGGAGAGCACAGTTCACATCACAGGGTTGTGGCTCTTGACACATTGCAGGAGGACATGTCCATCTCAGAGTGGATTTCATGTGGAAAAGAACCTGATACAAAGCCTTGAAAAGGGCAGAAGTGGGAGACTGCTTTCCTTGGTTAAGTTCCTGTGAGCTTCCATCTGTTTCCATGACAGTAGTAGAAATACAGAGTGTCTTGCAGCTCAAAGAAAGTGGGTAACTGTGATAGTCCAAATGCCTCAGTTACTGCTGCCTGGCAGAAAAAAAAAAAAAAGGAAATTTGACTACCAGAGACACGAAAAGCTGCTGTCCAGGGATGGACTTCTGACAAATCCAGATGCAAGGACTGTTTCTAGTCTTGCTTCTGCCTCCCCTCCCTTTGTTTCTGTGGACTGTTTGTCACTGTGGTGTTTGAGTTTCCTGAATCTGTATTTTACCCAACTACAGAAGGTAAACTGATTTCTTCTGGGACCTAAATGTTAGCTTGTTTCTGCTCCTTGTTTGTGTGAAATCAGGAAGCAGCTGGGGTTTTGAATAGTGAAAATCAGTGACGTGTACAGAGGTGTTGGGTGTGGGACCTGCTGTTTGGAGAGACATGAGGCTGGTGTGTGCTGCTGCATCAGATTTGGAACTGTTGGAACACTCACCTTCCATGGGCTTACAAGAAGGCTGGGGAGGGATTTTTCACAGGGGCATGTAGTGGTAGGACAAGGGGCAATGGACTTCAGGTGAAGGAGGGTAGATTTAGATTGGGTATTAGGAAGAAATTCTTCCCTGTGAGGGTGGTGAGGTCCTGGCACAAGTTGCCCAGAGAAGCTGGGGCTACTCCAGCCTTAGAAGTCTCTGAGGCCAGGCTGGACAGGGCTTGGAGGTGAAAGGTGTCCTTGCCCATGGGAGGAGATTTGGAACAAGATGGTCTTTAAGGTCCCTTCCAACCCAAACTGTTCTGTGATTCTGTGGTGCTCTCTGAGATCTTCTCTGGTTCGGATATGGGCTGTGGTTTCAGTAGAATTCAGACAGATTTTAATGAGGATCTTCATAAGAGGGGCTGTGCTTTAATCAATCTTCTACAACTCTCTCATATAAGTCCTGTTACCTAAGCAGGCAGTTGAAGATCTCTGTGCACAGGCTGTCCCCTGCCAAAGATAATAGCAGGGCTCTTCACACACATAAATTATCCTGTGCTTTCCCAGTTTTTACAAGTGACCTGTCACACTGTGTAAGTAAAGACCAGACTTCAGAACATGTGTCATGTTAAATCCCACAAACCTAACTCATTCCTTTAAAGGTCGATAGTTTCCCTTGGGATATCTGCTTTTCCTTCCCTGGTCATTAATTCTGTGCTTTAAGAAAAGATTGTTTTCTTCAGAGCGTGATTGTTTGCAGAATAAAGGCAGTGAGCCTGCCTGGCTGACCGTGCAGCAGGCTTTGCTGGTGCTTGTATAGAAGCTCTTCCTGAAACTCCATTTCCTGAAGGAAATAGCTCAGTGCCTTGAGATGTTTTTCCTTCTGAATCAATTCTGAGGTGGGGCTCCCTGGTTGGGGGGTCATGCTGCTCTGCTGGGAGGGCTGTGTTCCATACCAGGCACTGACATTCCCATGAGCCAGTACCATGCTGAGTTGAGCTCCTGGTAGAGTTTTAACTGCTTGGGTTTTTTTCTTGTTTTGGGGAAAATTACTTAGTTTGCTGTTTTAAGAGAGCTCTGTGGCTGGTGAGTGTGCTTGGAGTGTCTGGTAAACACAGAGGGGAAAACACTGTCTAAGGGGACAGAAGGCTGGAAATTTTGTTCACATGATCTGAAAGTGATACAGGGTAACTTTGCCTGTTGCCGTGGCATGTGAAGAAATGTCCAAAACCCAAGCACATACAGGGTGGAAACAGAAATTCTATGTTTTCAATTTGACAGTGGTTTTCTTTGAAATGTTTTATCTCAGTCCAATTTTCAGTTTCACTTTTAGTGGGAATGCAGTCGATAGTGCTGTAATGTGTCTTCCAGACAACTTTCTGCTCGTACATGTGGGACTTACTGGAAAACACCACATTACGTGGCACAGCAGTTCCATCAGTGTGAGTGTAGGATGGGGCTTTAACCAGGGAGTTATTTAGGAATTAACAAATGAGAGCATCAGAGCCTTTGTATTGAGCTCTGCTCAAGTAGTTTGATTAGTGACATATCAGGGAGATATTCCAGTAACATGTGTCTCTACAGTTTGTTACATCTTTCTACTGCTGAATAAATCTGGGGGTTTTGTAAAATCAGTCCAACACTGAAGGATTCCAGAAGAGGAGGGGAGGAAACAGGTAATAAAAGTTAGAAATGTCTAAAAACAGATGAGGATAGCTTTAAAATTGGTGTCACATTTACTGTTTGCTGTGATGTGCAAGGCTGATGTACAGGTCAGAATGAAACCAGTGACACTGTTCTGACTGAAGTGCCTGTCCCATAAAGTTAATAGCATCATCTCTGTTCCCCTCATCAGCTAAAGGATGCCCATTTAACCAGATCTTTCAGGCTGTTTTCATGATGATCTGTTTCCTAAACTCTCTCCTTTCTCTGTCTGTTGCAGTGGCACATCTCCCCTGGCCTGCCTCAACGCCATGCTCCACTCCAATTCCCGGGGAGGGGATGGGCTCTTCTACAAACTGCCTGGACGCATCAGCCTTTTCACACTCAAGGTAAATGCTGAGCTCTGCTCCCAGCTGAGGGTTCAGGGGTGGGTTCTGCTCCTTGTGCAGGGCTGAGTGTTACCCTGTCACTGAGCATCATGAGCAGTGAGATCATCATGTGAGAGAGGGTCTGGAATTCATGATTTCCTTGGAGCTTGTACCTTTCAACTGTATTCAGCCATCTGTGATAAATTTCTTTTAAAAACCTCAGCTGTTATTTCTTGAATCTTCTTACTGCAGTACCTGGTGTCCAGCTCAGGTGGCTGTTCATCAGAACAGATCTGTGCACTCCCTTGCTGCCAGCCACAAGGGAAAACAGCCAACCAAGGAATTGGTCCAAGAGCTTGTAGTGACAAGTAAAATCTTGATAGGAAAATGTATATTCATTCTTCTGGCTGCTTGTTCTGTGATCCACTGCATTCTGTGTTATTTTACATCAGTATTTTCCTCAGATCTTAAAATCTCTCTGGAATACTTTTTTATTTTTAGTTTATTGTTCCAGTAATATTAAATATTGAAAATGTTTCTGTTCCTGAGGTTTTGTTTTGCATTGTTTTGTACTGTTGGATTCCTTGATAAATATCAACTTGGTAGATCTCAGCTATTTCATTTCCATCTTTTTTCTGCTGTTAGAAAATCCTGTTGAATTGACACATTTTGCTGAAAATAGGTGGCATTGAAATGGCTTTTATTGTACAAGTAGGAAATACATCTCCTAAGCTTGCTTAGTGTTTGGCCACTCCGATGTTACTTGTTCTCATAGTGAGATGCTTCTCTTTAATATGAAGTCATTACTTACAGAATATTACGACATATTATGAACCTTTCTAATAAATTAATTATTATTAACCTGGTATTTTGGATATTTACTTGTCTAGGAAGGGGCTATGAAGTACACGTAGTTTAGGTGACTTCTGTTCCGCTATGAGCCCAAATATACTTTAAAATACCTTTCTGCATCAAGGATTAAAACAGGAAAAAAATTGAAGGTTAAAGTATATCCTGTTAACTGTCTGATCCCATTGGTGTAGATTTGGGAGGGAGGGAGGGAGGGCTGTAGCCACCCCAGTTCTGTTCCCCCTCTAGAAAGATGCCTTGCAGTGGTCCCGGAACCTGTCAGTGCCAGAAGGGGAGGAGCTGGAGGACACAGCAGATGCAGAAAGCTGTGGGTCCAACGAAGCCAGCACTGTGAGTGGTGACAACGATGGTAAGTGTCTGGTGACATTAACCTTAATCTCCAGGACCTACTTCTGTGTCTGACTGAGAGCTCATCTCTTTCAGTGTCTCTTGATGAAACTTCTTCTAACGCCTCATGTTCCACTGAATCTCAGAGCAAGGGACCTGCTACCAGGGAGAGCTACAGAACTGCTTCCCAGGTAGGAAAAATTGGGACTAATGGGAAGGATGAAGCCTCTCAAGGGGAGCTTTCATTACTATTGGGGTGGTATGACAGGGACTATTTGGCACAAGTGCCTCAGAGATAGTTATGGGTCTGTCTTCTTGGGCAAGAAGTGGCAGGATGGTGAGGGATCATGTATGGGAAGACAATTTTGAATTCTCTGCTAGTCCTAAATGTAGTGTTGCCTGAAGATTCAGCTAGGAGGAGCCAGGCAGCTCTTTAACTGAGGAACATGCTGCTTAGAAGATTACTATACTCTTCCGTAATGCCTTCATTCCTTTGTTTTGTTTTTGGTTTCTCTCTGGTCTGCAGACAACCAAACAGAAGAAAAAGACGGGTGTGATGCTGCCACGGGTGGTGTTAACCCCACTGAAAGTAAACGGGGCACACATGGAGTCTGCCTCAGGTGAGCATGGCTTTGGGGGGGTCCTAATGACCTCACAGATCTCTCAGACAGTCCCCAGTCATCAGTGTTTGCCTGTATTTCTGTAACACCTGCTGAGAAAGAGTGAAACTGCAGAGTTGTGTGTGTGTTTAACTTACTCAAAATAGTTGGTACCTGGGCAATACCCTGTAATAGCAGATTTGTTAGTAACAGAGAATTCCTGTGTGATAAACCACTCTCCCAGTTGGTCTTTGACTGTTCTTTGCATATTTTTATGATGTTGTTTTGCATTTAGGCTTCACAGGAAGGCACGCTGATGGGGAGAGCAGCAGCACATCCAGCAGCAGCAGCAGCTCCTTGGCCCTGTGCAAAACCAGCCTGCGCAGTAGGACAGAGATAAACAGGGATCCTCCACAGCTGCTGAGGGGCATCCGAAAGCCCACGGCTGGTACGTGCTCCTGGGTAAAGGCAGAAGAATAATTGGTGATGGTGAAGTCCACATGTATCTGAGAAAAGAGCACCAGGAGGCATTTGATGACCTGAGGTCACAGGCCAGGCTTTCGACTTTCGAGTGTTAGTGATAGAATTGTTTAAAAGTTTGCCTGGTCTGAAGAGCAGCATTGAGAATGGTGCCTGAATATGTCAAAACTGTGACCTCGTGTCAGAATTGCAGATGTGTGTTTGTTAATTACTGCACTGGAGAGTCATTCTTCACACTTGAATACTGCAGTCTTTATCATCTCTCTTGCTCCTTTTGTTATTGCAGTTTGACATAAATTTCAGCCCATAATGCTGAAATACTTCTGTACAACAACATTAATTTTATTTGCCTGTCCTTAAACTCCAGGACAAATGAAACGTAACAGGGGTGAGGATATTGACTTTGAAACCCCAGGCTCCATCCTTGTCAACACAAACCTGCGAGCGCTGATCAACTCCAGGACCTTTAACGCGCTTCCATCACACTTCCAGCAGCAGCTGCTTTACCTCCTGCCTGAAGTCGATAGACAGGTATGAGCACTCAGGTGTTTTCCCTTCCCTGATTGCCTCTTCAGTGTGGAACAGCTGGAGCAGATGTGTTCTGTTTGTCCTGGGTCTGTCCTGCTAGGTGGGGGCTGACGGGCTGATGCGCCTCAGTGGCAGCGCTCTGAACAACGAGTTCTTCACCCACGCTGCACAGAGCTGGAGGGAGCGGCTCGCTGATGGTGAGTGGCTTTGCTTTCCTGAGTGCCTGGGGAATAGCTGCTCATTTTGTAGGATTTTTGGTTTTCTTTTGCAGTTAATGAGTGGGAACTTAGTACAGCTTTGCTGCATGTTGCCCTCAACTTTTTCTTTTTTTTGTTTAAAATCAAAGATACGATTTCTTTTGGTACCATGGGACCTTCAGCATTAAGTGCTAAAGGTGTAAAGTAGTGCCAGACTTATTTTTCCTTAAAAGGTGGCCTGTCTGTTAAAACATGATTTTTCCTGGAGCCATAGGCAGCATGGGGATCCGGAATGGGTGGGGAGCAGGGTGTTAACAGCACGTCTGTCTTTCATATATTTAGCTGCTGTACAATTCATACATTAGGTTGCATTTGCAGAATGAGTTTTGTTTGGAGCTGAATTCCAGTCTCTTGCTTCCACGTAGGTGAATTCACCCACGAGATGCAAGTTCGAATCCGGCAGGAGATGGAGAAGGAAAAGAGAGTGGAGCAATGGAAAGAGAAGTTCTTTGAGGACTACTATGGGCAAAAGTGAGAAATTTTACCATGTCTATCCTGCTTTATCCATGTTTATGCAGATGGCAGAGTGTGTTTCTGTTTACCTGAGCAGATGCAGCATAAACTCCTTGAAAAACATGGGCTGTGGGGTGAATTGTTCCACCTGTTGTTCTGGGAAAATCCTTAGTGGAATTGGCTGGGTTCAGCAGAATTTTGTAGCCCATCTCTTCTGTTTCCAAGAAAAGTGGATGGTATTTTCCATAACAAATTTTTGGGTTTTTTTTTTCTCATTCCATGTGATAGCAATGTGGAATGTGTGGGTTCTCCCCTTGCAGAATGAGTTAATGAGGCTTTGATGACTCTCGGCCTGTGTTGGCAGTATTCAGTAGCACTCAAATTGGGGTGAGCTTTAGCTTTTAGCTGGCTTCTGTGTTTGCCTTATAGGTTGGGCTTGACCCAGGAAGAATCCCAGGCGCAGAATTCAGTGCAGGAGGACGCTGAGAACAGGACAGAGCTGTCTGTTAAAGGAGAAGCAAGGCTGCCCCGCGGGCCGGCCACGCGCCAGAGGGACGGGCGCTTCCGGAAACGCTCCCGGGCCGACCTGCGGTGCCGGGCCAGGAGGAGCCTGTACAGGCTGAGGGAACCTGAGCACACGGAGACTCCCAAAGAAGCTGCTCCCGTGGGGCCAGATCCCTCACTTCATAAAGAGCCAAAGCCTGAGACAGACCTGAAGAAAGATGATCTGACCAGCCCCTCGGCTGCAGGATTGAAGGCAGAGACTACCGAACTGCACCTCTCTCCAGAGACTTCCAAATCAAACAGCAAATCAGAAGATCCATCATTGGCAGCTACCAGCAGAATTCCCAGTTTGCCCCAGGAGAACTCTGCTCAGGAGTCCAAGGAGCAGAAGAGGAAAAGCTTTGAGGAGGCTGCCTCTGCGTCCTTCCCCGAAAAGAAGCCCCGGCTTGAAGATCGTCAGTCCTTTCGTAACACAATTGAAAGTGTTCACCCAGAAAAGCCACAGCCTACTAAAGAGGAGCCCAAAGTCCCACCCATCCGGGTAAGAAAGAGCTTTAGAGCTGCTGTATCTCAGGGCTGCCGTGCTCAGTAGTATCAAAACATTATTAAAATGTCAAGTGTTGCCATCTTAAGGGAAGGAGTCGAAGGGTTTCATTGGTAGAGCTGGTGAAGTGCCTCTGACTGCCACGGTTTGCTGTCGTATTTAGACAGGCAAAGAATGGAAAATCATCCCAAGGTCTTTGCACAAGAGCACAGGGTAACCTTGACTTACTCCCTTCATTTGCATTTCTGTGGCTACAGAAACACTGCCTGAAATGAGCTGACTGACTGCAAAAGACCTTGAAATTGTGTTCTTTATCCTGTCTAGTTTCTGAGTTCTTTTCCTTTGCTTTTGGACAGAATCTCAGTGTTCCTCCTGACTTTTTCCATTTTGACCAGGATACCCATTTTGCTAGCCTCAGTGCAGTCATCCTGGTGCAGAGAAGAGCAGTTTGATCTCTGAACACGTGAATATAAATAACTTATTTCATATTTGCCTGCAGGCTCTGATAAAACAATATTAGTGTGAACTGAGCTTTGCAGATCACACTACAGAGCCGAGGTTGTAGGACCGTGCTGCTTCTCTGCCCAAATTAGTTTCTAAGTTGAAATTTTTGTTGGACTTTGTGCTAAAAATTGTGATGAGCAGTTGCCAGTAAAACACATTTCACTGGAGATGGGCAGTGTTAGAACTCACCTCGTTTCCCTTTCTTTCAGATTCAACTTTCACGTATTAAACCACCCTGGGTGGTTAAAGGTCAGCCCACTTACCAGATCTGCCCCCGGATCATCCCCAGCACGGAGCCCTCCGGCCGGGGCCGCCCCGGGGCCCGGACCCTCGCAGACATTAAGGCCCGTGCTCTGCAAGCCCGAGCCCAGCGCGAAGCCGCCACCGCCGCCATCGGAGGAGGGGGTGGCCCTGGTGGGGGGAGAGGCACCGACGAAGGAGGCGGTGGAGGAGAATCCAGCGGCCGTTCCCAGCACAGGAGATCCAAGAGAGCTCACGGAAAACGTGCGTCAGATCTACAGCGAGCACAACTACAGCTGTCTGTTCATCTGAGCGGAGGGAAGGCTGACTCCAAAGGGGCTGCTCAGGAAGCCAGCGTGAATTCCTGCCTCTCTTCCAGACAAGATCACTCTTCCTCAAAAAGCGAAAGGAGCAGCATTCCGGGCTGTGCCACGGGGTCAGGGGACAGTCAGCCTGGTGATGGGTCACCCAGGAGACCGTTCTGTGGTTCTCTGACTGTGTCATCCTTGGACAGTGCAACTCCTGAGAGGCAGAAGGAGAGTCCTGAGCAGCTGCTCCATGACCCAAGGACCGAGCTCCCATCTTGTGCTGCATCACAGGAGAGCACAAAGCTGGGATGTGTGGTTCCTGTGGTGACCAATCCGTCGTGTTCTGGGGGGCAGGGAGCTGGGGTCAGTCCCACGGGACACAGGGCTGTGGTGGAACTCGGAGATGTTGGTGCTCCCACCATACAGCTGGATTATCCTGATGTAAAGCAAAATTCCTCCAGTTGTCCTTTTCCACCAGAATTGTCATCGGGTGTCACAGAACGCCATGATCCCGACAAGGTGTCTGGTTTTAGATATAACAACTCCCAAACATTTCTGGAAAAACGTGTTGCTGATAATACCTCCAAAACGGTGACTGTTGGAGTGAAGAAAGCGATCCCTGCAGTGTGTGATGCTGCACAGCTGCAGGCAGGGAAAGGCAGTGATGGCAAACTGAGCAATGAGGAACAAAAGGCAGAGGCTCTACTGCAGCTCTCTGTGCATGGTGACTTTATTTCTCAGAATAGGATAGATACCTCTGAAAAACTCCTGCAGCCACGGGAGAGGTGCCCCAGAACCGAACCGGAAAACGCACATCAGCCCCTGGGAGAGACTCAGGAACTGAAGAGAAGTGGAGATGAAGAAATACAGAGTACACACAGTGAAACAACAGACACTGCTTCCGATTGGGAAGGGGACATGGCTGATGAGAATGTGGAGGTGGAGATGTGTTTCAGAAGTGTCAGCTGTAGGGAGGTGGCTGAGAAAGGCTCTTCCTGTCACAGCAGCAGTGAGAAGCGCAATGGGATTAGGTCAAAACTGTCTGTGGAGACAGAGAGTCTGGCCTGTTCTGGGGACTTGGCTGCACCCCCACCTCAGAGGTGGGGACCCCAGAAAGCCGAGTGTCCGGCCAGCTCTGCTCGGCCCGTGTCCTCCATCGAGACCAACAACCCTTTGGTGATGCAGTTGCTGAAGGGGAAGCTTCCACTGGAAGAAGTTCTCCCAGTGTCACATGTCAACATCAAGCTGGAAATTGCACAGCCAGTGCTGCAGAAGCAGTCAGAAAGCCTCTCCCTGCAACTGGACAGAAGCAGTGGTCACTATTTTGGCAAAGAATCTTCTCCAGATGTAGGAATAAAGACGAGTGCCCAAAGCAGGAGCGATGATGTTCACTCAGTGAGATCTTCCATAGATCCCCAGGAAAAAACCTGTGGATCAGGAGCAGCATTGCCTAGAGCAGAGGGTGCAGAGGATCAGGTGGTCCCAGAAAAACATTCCAAAGTTGGTTCGACTTTAAGCTGCCAAGACCAACTGGCAAACGTGGCAAGTGCCTCTCTGAAGTCTGAAGATGCGGACCCTCGGGAAAGAACATTTTCTTCCTGTAGCTTTGAGGAGCAGAAGGAGTTGCCCAAGGTCCACCGGATGCCACAGCACAACCCATTAGCAAGTGTCACAGCAAGTAAAAGCCCAGAGAAGCTGAATGCCTCTACAGAGCCTCGGTTTTTATCTCCAGGTGTAACTTCTCTTGGACCAAACCAGACAGGAGGTGCATTAGTCAATAAAAATTATGGTGGGGTTCAAGGCAAAAAGCTCTTTGGTTCTGGTTTTCCTTCCAGCCCCAGCGTGAGACTGCATCACTCCAGGGCTTTGGAACACAGTTCAGCCATGGAAACCTTGTCCCCTGGCAAACAGATTCCCTTGGACAAGGGCTGTGCATTGGGAGAAGGAATCCCAGCTGCCAGGGAGGAATGGACTTCAAAGCAGCACAGCAGCAACCCTGGAGGGATCAGAAGTGAGAAGGTGCTGGTGTGTGGCAGCCCAGCCAAGAGTAATGCAGAGAACCAGGGGGATGTGGCCCAGCAGCCCACGGAACTGGCGGGGCACACACAGAGAGAGCCACTGGTCATGGACTGGCCCTTCTTTAAGTTTTCAAGGGATCCAGGAAAAGGACAGTGTCACCCTTTGGAGCCTTCATCCATCCCCTCTCAGCTCAATATCAAGCAAGCGTTTTATGGGAAGCTTTCAAAGCTGCAGCTTAATTCCACCAGCTTTAATTATTCATCCAACACTCCGGCTTTCCCCCGAGGCCTTGCTGGGAGCGTGGTGCAGCTCACCCACAAAGCGAACTTTGCTGCGAGCCGGAACACGGCCCTGGCTGTGCAGATGTTTGCTGACAGCAGCAGCGTCGACGAGATCTCGTTCCAGTGCTCGTGCAGCCTCAAAGCCATGATCATGTGCAAAGGCTGCGGCGCCTTCTGCCACGACGACTGTATAGGACCCTCTAAGCTCTGTGTATTGTGCCTTGTGGTGAGATAATAAATTATGGCCATGGGACAGGTTGTATATTCAGTGTGTGTATTTTGATAAGGACTGATCCTAACGCCTGTACACAAAGTACACAAAGTACTCTCTGTTCATAGTAGAAACGCTGTTACACTTTGTTTTGGTGAGGAACGTTGAGCTGCCTTCCCACGGAGGTCGACAGTGCAGAGCTCATTCCTGCTGATGGCGACACCCTGCTCTGGGTGGGCTGTGTCCCATGGGAGCGATCCTGCTGCTTCCTGCTGTCATGGAAATTCCAGCTGTGCTCTGGTATCGCACTGAGGCTGACGCCGGGGGGAGAGGCCGTTCGCTGTGGCAATCCCTGGACCTTCTGTGGAGGAAATCCTTACATCCAAAGGAACTGGAAGATGGTATTTGCTATTTCAGGGCTGCACAAGGTGAGGCCCTACAGTCTTCCACTCTCCCTTTCTGCCATCTCCATTCCCGGTTTGTGTGGGAAGTGCTGCTGTGCAGTGAGTGTAAGCAGAAGAGCTGCCCTGCAGGGATGGTCCCATGTAGTCGTTGGATGCTGCAGCAGGATGTGGTGCCCAGGGATGTGCTCTGCAGGTGGTTCTGGAGCCGTGTACAGCCCACCACGGGCCACATGGAACCCACGTGGAGAATGCAAGAAGAGGAAAAAAAATCTCGGGGCAAGTGCCAAGCAAATGCCTTCTGCTGGCCTGCAGGAAGCTGTGTGGCCAGGGAACTGTTCCTGGCTGAACTGGCCCAGCGGCTGTGCCTGCCTCCTTTGGCCAACTTCCACAAACTGCTGTGGAACACTGGAGGTTCCCTGGAGCTCAGTGATCGGGTCAGTGAGCTCTGCACTGCAGCTTTGTGGTGAGGACCTGAAACCCCACAGCAGCTGAGCACCTGCGAGCATCGAGCTGTGCATCTGTGTGACCATCACCTAACATTTAAAGCAGTGTTCTTTCCTCTTTTTTATTTTCCTTTTTTTTTATATATTTTCATTATTGGATGTATAAAGTGAGTTATTTGGCTCCTGTAAGTATCCTCTCTGCATCTGTTTGATCATATATTTATATGTTGTACACAGTACTGGCCAACTCTGTAAATGGATGTAATGTACATAGAGCATAAAGGGGTCTTTTTTTTTCCTTGGATTTCCAGGCTCTACAGCAGTATTGCATTAAAGTGGTGTTAGTTATTGTCAGAGCCACTGTATTCCGTCTTGCCTGACGTGAGGCTCACCACACTGGGGTCTTGGTTCCAGCAGCCTCCCCGTGCCCGAGGTGCCTGGGTGGACTGTGCTGAGCAGGCTCAAGGATGACCAGGTGGGATTTGCTGAGCCGAGCTCACTCCCCGATTGCTCATTTTAGCTCTTGCCAGTTGTTGCTGCACCTGAGCTCCCAGGGCATGGCTGTACCTGCACTGCAAGGAGGTGAATGAACATCCATGTGCATCCAGAGAGGGAGAGCAAAACTGCAATTCTCTTCCTCTTTGGAGCAATTCCTAAGCAAGAGTTAATTGCTTCAGTGAGGGGGAGAAGCCGCTGGCTTATTCAAGCGGGCAGTAGCAAGAATTTTAGGGAGTTTATTTTCATTTTTTTCTTCTCGTCCCTTTTCCAGCTCCATCCTACCTCCCTTCACCATGCACTTTCTTTCAGCCGTGCAAGTTCCTTTTTCAGCCACAATCGTGAGGGGTGGAACAAGTTCAGTCCCTGAGATGTTTTTTATCCTCAATGCATCCACCAGCCTCATCCCACGAGAATGAGAGCCCGGTGCAGCGGCACCCCGGCCTGGGCAGGGCTGCGGTGCCCCTGGGGGCGAGCAGAGGTGTGGAACCTGCTTACCAAAGATGGGGAGCGGAGCAGGGGGCTGGCTCTGCCTCCTGGGGGGCCACTGCAGTGTTCAGCTCGGACTGGTCTGGGGGGCAGAGCCCTCGGGGGGGCCTGCTCGTGTCTGTCCCTTGTGCTATTGGAAAAATAAACACTGTAAAATCTGCTTGTGTGGTTTCAGTCCTTTTTCTGAAATCCTCCTCCATTCTAAGGCAATGTGGCTTTTCCTTTCCTCTCTTTTAACTGCAGCTGTTCCAGAGCTCTGTCACTGTGGGGAGGGGCTGTGTTGCTGCTTGGCTTTGTTAAATCTGGTTTTATGCACTTAGAGAGCACTGAAGATGGTGCAGCTCCTGCAGAGATGCCGTGTGGCTCTTGGGGAATGGACACCCTGGATGCTCTGAGAGCCACGGGGGGCTGTGGGACACTGCAGGGACACAGGGACACAGTCACAGGGGCTCCCTGCCCTGCTGGGGTGATGCCTGTGGGCAGCAGCACTGAGACTTTTCCCAGTGCCAGGGCAGGTCCTGCTGTTACTGCCGTCATTGCTGGATAAATGGATCTAAAAATGTTTCTCAAGAGCATAAATGTGATATCAATTACAGTTTATTGAAACAACTTGGAAACTCACTTTATGGCCAAGTCCTTTCTCTTTTTTGGGCAGTAAGGAAATAACATGAATTACGATGTGATGTGTCTGGGCTCTGCAGGGCGAGCAGGGATCTCCTGCCTGGGGCTGTGGGAGTGCTGAGATCCTTGTGGTGACACAATCCCTGACTTCCTGGCATTCCACAGCGCTGCCATTGCAGAACAGCAGTGATGGCCTCACACACCAGCCAGGGCTGGGGCAGCAGATGGTCTGGCACCAGCATTTGGGGTGAAAAAATGCTTCTGTGGTTTTTGGTGTTTCATTGATGTTCTGACTCTGGCAGGCTGTCTGCACACAATACCTGAATACTGCACACGATACTGTCCAGAATACCTGGATAATCTAAATAAGCTAAATACAGGGAATGCAAAAAATGAGTAGAGTTGTTGCTTAGCCAAGCTTTAAAACTCAGTATTAAATCCTTCCCTGTTTTATTGGGGTGGGGGGTGATGGCATTAGGGTTAGCTACCTCTGGAATAGGGGAGCTTGGGGGTTTCAAGAGTAAAACCCATTAACATCAGAATTTCACAAAGAGCAATACTTTTTTCCTGTTTTCCTCTCTGTGATATCTGTGTGCCAAGTAGCAGATTTTCTTTCTCCCAGCCCGGCTGCTGTTTGGCTCTGGTTCTGCCAGGCTTGGCAGGGCCATCTGCAGGCATGGGGACATCCTGAACCAGTCTGGCCAGGGGGCTCTGGAAGCCTCAGCAGGTGATGCCAACTGGTTTGTAGCTGGTGTGGCCCAGCACTGCTTAGCCCTCTCCCATGCTCCTTTGGAAATCTGGAAGCAAAGCCCAGCCAGAGGCTCAGCCACAGACCTGAAGGTGTCAGGGACACAGGGCCACTGGTGCTGTGCTGCCAGACATTAATGACTTCTGTGAATGCTCCGTTTGGGATGTGCTGTCCCAGGTGATCGTTTACAAGCACGAACATTCACGTGGATCCTCCTGGCCTCGCTCCCGGCTGCAGCCGCAGCAAATCCCGGGAAGAGGGAGCCCACCCGCCTGCCCCGCAGCATCCCCACCCCCCTGGGCAGCTGCATTTCCATGGAAGCTGCAAACCCCTGGGACCCTCTGGGTCTCCTGATGCTCAGACCAGGAGATGGTGTCTATACAGCGCTTGAAGAGGAACATTTATGGATGCAAAGGTTTATTATACTTAGTGAATAAAGCTGATAACGAAAAATCAGTATTTTCCATGAGGGAGAACTTTGCACAAACTTCAATGAAAACTTTTTTTTTTCTTTTTTCTTTTTTTTTTTCTCACAAAAACCAGACACTTCACAAAATTAATTTTGTCAAAATATAAGTTAAGCATAAAACTGGTGCCTTGCCCCCTTTGTGAGTGCTGCCACTGCTCTCTCTGGTACCCACGCTGTCTGTTACGGAATGGAAAGCACAGCTTATGTCAACAGGAATGAAAGATGTTTTGGTTTGGTTTTTTTTTTCTTCCTTTTAACACCTAAATTTAGATCCCGCTCTGGTGACTGATGGCACCAACCTCTCGCACAGGGCCTGGGGCGAGGGGCAGCGCTGGGGCCAGCAGCACCCAGCGGGGCTCGACAGTGGAGGAGAAAGCCCTTTTTGTTATACAGTGTTTATTAAGTAGATTCAGTCTTATATATGATATACAGATTCAAAAGAAAAAAAAAAAAGTATTCCACATACTTATGAAATCAGTGCATTTAGCAAGTAATACCATGGAGATAACAGCTCGATTAACAGCTCATTGGTCTTTGTTAAGTGAGGGGACAGGGAGTTGGCCTGTGCTAATCATTCCACAAACAGAACAGAATTAAGTTGCATCACATATATAATAGACACACATTCTAAGAATTAAAATATTAAGCCACATTTACTGGAAAAATCCACAGTATATAACACAAATAACTCTTATCAAGCTCGTTGAGGAGGAAGTGCTCATCTGCTTAAGAGCCACATGAAGTTGCATAGGTGCCTATCTGCAAAAATATCATTTCCAAAGGAATCAATTGATTAAGCAATAAAGTGTCACCTTAGAAGCTGGATTAAGTGCCATACGCTTTCTATGTGAGCCCTCGGGAAAGCAGCAGCTTCCCAAAGAGCCTCTTCTGCCTCGCTGGGAGCCTCCCGCGGGACCGCGCTCCCACCTCCACCCCAAGCAGCAGCCGGCTTGGGCGAGCTCACCCCCTTCCCTACAGCATTCCCAATTCTGCTCAGGAGTGTTTTCCCCCTGGGCCCCTGCATCAGCTGGACCCTACGGGCAGCACCGCCCTCCACCCGTGTGGGAGGAGGAGGAGGATGGGGAGGCAGCAGCACTGCCCAGATCTGGTGCTTCAGAGCTCCGGATCAGCTCCCGATTGGAATTGCAGCCGATCCGTAAAACTACCGGGGGGGGAAAAAGAATACAACAGCTTGTGCAAAACCCAAAATTGCTAAAAGGGTGTGTGGGTTTGGTGGGGTGTCCCTGGGGCGGGCGCGGGCGGTGGGGGGTGAGGCTGTGGCTGGGTTAAGCAGACGAACTGGGTGAGGGGCAGCTTCCTCTTCAACAGCAGGTCTGGCAGAACACACGGGGTCGGGAGTTCTGTACATGTAAACAGTACACTTTCACTGAGTCCAAAATTAGGAGCAAAAATACAAAGGTTCACATTGGTCTTAGGTAGATACAGGCGAAGAACTGAGCTGTGCAGCTCCGAAACAACCGAACGAAAGTTCCTAAAGCACCACTAAATTATATAAAAATCAGACCATGGACGGATTGTAGTTGGTGTCTGGTGAAATACTATGCTACCTTGTAAAAAGTTTTACAAAAAATTACAAATCAAAAGTATATTAACCCTCTGAGTTCAAAGCAGCATTTTTTTTTTTTTCATGAACTGGTACTAAATCCGACGGCCGCTCCGGGAGGGAAGTGGCCCTTGGGATCGGGGAGGTACAAGTTACATCTGCTCACAACCCTGGGAACGCTCTCCCATAGAGAAACAGCGTCATGGGAACCGCACATCCAGGGCAGCATGGGTGTGTTGAAATAAAATAAAATTTAAAAAAAAATAAAAATCTCTTGTTTTCGACCAGTGATCAGCTTTTCTCAACCAAACCCAAGACCATCCAGACTATTTGCTAACCCAGCATTCTCCTTCCACCTCTCAGATATCTGGAAAGCCGGTGTATTCTGCTCCTGCTTGTTCCTTCTTGTTGAGAACCTGGACTAGCAATTCCTGACCCCGTCCTGCCCAGTGAGAGTGCAGGAATGTGGCTGTGAACAGTCCTGGAGCACAGGGAGCCACGGTGGAGCACGGAGCAGCTGCAGAGCACGATGTCTGTGGAGCTCATGCCAAAGGAACCAGAACGCTGTGGCTCACAAAAAAAAAAAAAAAAAAGATCCCTGACAGAAATTCGGAGTCAATCCCGTTTGTTTTACAACTTGTCCCAGATGTGGCTGTCAGCAGGGCTTTGGGAATGAATCTGAGTCTGTACCATTCAGCTGCAGGTTATGAACATCAGGTGCTGGGACAGGGCGGTGTTGGGCACTCTCCTTCGGTGTCCTCTACAGCAGTTTGACCACGTGTGAGAGCTCCTGAACTTCCACATGTGCCGAGACAGGTTCAGAGGTGATCAGGAATGACTTGGATAAATAAAACTTAACCCAACTGTGGCTGTTGGTGGTCTGTCCATGTGCCCCCGGGTTACCTCTGTTTCAGTACAAACTGATGGCAAACTTATGGCTAAAGGTTCCTCTGCCTCTGCCGAGGAGGGAGGCACCGGCGTGCGTGGGAGACCACGGAGAGGGAGAATCCCAGGACAGCGATTGTCTCTGCCTCTCCTGCCTGAACGGTAAGACTTTTCACAAATGGCTGCAGTTACAGATTTTGTCAAAGGTTTGTTACTTCATGGTATTCACACAAAAATAAATATTTACATAAATTCCAAGTATGGGAGGATGCAGTGGACAAACCAAGCAGGCTTCTGAAGTGCTGGGGAAAGCATTAAGTCTGAGCCCTGGCTGGGGGCTGGCATCCCCGGGGCCCCCTCCCCACGCAGGAGGGGATGGGTGTGGCCACGATGCTCCTGGTTCCAGCATCGGGTCAGGTCTAAGAGCCACCATCACCTCGTCTCTGCACCGACCCCTCAGCTGCACCCCGCAGCGAGGGGCTGGGTCCCTTTTCTCCAAATGCTATGGGAAGTTTAAGGTTTGGGGAAAACAGTCAATGCAATGGTTGATCCCTTCTGCTGTGGGGCCAGGCACACCTGGCCTCAGGAGCCAGCAGTTTTTACTGTTCTGAGACTAAAAGCAGGGTAAGTTTTGTTTTTCTTCCAGTGTGTGGAGCATCATGGGGTGCAGAGGGTGCAGGGGAACTGCCCGGGCCCGCTCCTGGCCAGACCAGTGGCTGCTCAGGCCTGTGCCACCAGCGTTGGCCCCTGGAGCAGCAGCCCCCGGCTGCTGGGTCCGAGTGGCCAAAAAATGAGATAAAAACTGGCTCCAAACCAAGAAAGTTTCTACCTACAAAACAGCTTTACACTTATCGAATTTCTATCTCGTGGTGTGGCCTTCAGCCAAGTGGGGGGGCTGCGGGGGACAGGGAGCAGCGGGACCCTCGCTGGTCTCTGCACAGCTCCAGAGCACGTTGCATTGCTGGGCTGGGCTCAGCACCCCTGGCCGGAGCGAGGTCCCTGGGTTAGCAGCACTGGCAGTAGGTATTGCACTGAGCAAAACGAAGTGCATCATTGTGGGGGGTGGAAACAGGGCAGAATGGTCATTGGGCTACGGTTCTTCCACACTTTGGGAACCGTGGGCTTGTTCCAGGACTGTGAGCAGGGAGGGGGAAGGATCCTGGGCCTCGGAGAGGATTTTGTCAGTTCTGCTGCTCAATGCTGCCCGTCTCTCCCGCAGGAGCGGGCGGTCACCACTCCAGCTCCCCTCTGGGGTGAGCCCCGGGCTGCCCTGCCTCACACCCCGCGGGCCCCGGGGCTGGCTGCAGACGGAGCGGAGCGCACGGCCGGGAGCAGCAGGACCCAGCCGGAGGTTCCAGCCTCCTCGGCACAATCCCCATGTCTGCAACGCTCACCGTCCCCAGGACCAGCACCGCCAGTCCTGGAAGAAGCCCACAATGGAGTGTGAGGTAGAGTACGGATGGTGACCGCAAGACAGTGTTTCTCAGGTATCTCCTTCCTTTCTTCCTTCCTTCTCTTATCTGCAATGACTTTAATGAGTGCGAGATGCCCTTCAGCCGGAGGTCTGCTGAGCTTGCCGAGTCTCTGCGGGAGGTTCAGACCCCACTGCTGCTACGGGACCTCTTAGAACAAAGGCCTAAGCAGGACGCTTGCGCTGCTGTTCAGCTCCCACCTACGCTCACTGGAGGCTGAGCAGCCTCGATGTCAAGGGCTGGATGGCAAACTTGCTCCCTGTGGGACAAGGGTTCACCAGAGAAACAGGCAGAGCTGCCTGGAAATTAGTAGTGTAGTGATATGGAATGTGTTATTTCACAGGAATAAATTCCTTCTGATCAGACAGACAAAAAACTGGCAATCTGTACAAACTCAAAAGAATCCATTTTCAGAAAAATAAATTACTAAGGGGAGAGGAGGGTCCATTTCTCAATAAATATGTGATTCAGCTCACCTAAGACTTGGAAATTATCCAGGGATGGGAATCTAACATTTGGGTCCACAAAGGTTATTCTAAGTACATCTGCAGCCCCAAACCTCCCCAGGCTCCCTTCTGCCCTTCAAAGTCCCACATCCTTCCAAGCTGCAGGGTTGGCTTCTGGTCGGCCAGAGGCACGGGTGTTGGTACGGTTCCAAAATGTGTCCTTGTGCCCGAAGTCCCAGGTGCTTGGAGTGTAAAAGAAAACAGGTCTTTTGGATCCCACCTTCTAAAACTACATGTGCCCACCACGTGGCGGGAGGACGATGGTGGTCCTGAGCAGGACACCGCTGGGAGCCTCTTTCTAGCAGGTATAAATTGTCTTGTCGACCAAGGAGCGATGCAGACACGGGGAGTCAGTTCTGCTGTAAAATGAGGTTTTCCAGTTCGTCTGCAGAGCGGAGCAGGAACGCCGCCGACTCCCGGTAGCCGGCGATGAGCTGCCGCACGGCGCTGATCTCCGTGGGGCTCAGCTGGGCCGCCTGCATGCCCCGGCTGGTGCTGTTGGAGGGGGCTGTGCTGGAGGCCCCACCTTTCATGCTGAGATCGGTCGGACCTGCCATGGAAAAGTGAGAGGGAAGCTCAGGCACAGCAACCTTTCCCGTGCTCATCCTCATCCTGTTGTGATTCCAGAGAAGGGCACCACTTGGGAGGTCCTCACAGTGCCTGGATAATGTGAGGAGCTCCCATCCCACAGACCCCAGAGCAGCCACTCACTGCCTCTGCAACAGGAACACAGGTCCAGAGGAGCCCACAGAGATGCTAAAAAGGAACATGCTGAGGGAATTGGGGCTGTTCAGCCTGCAGAAGAGAAGGCTCTTCAGAGACCTCAGAGCTCCTTTCAGTGCCTAAAGGGGCTCCAAGAGAGCTGGAGAGGGACTTTGGACAAGGGCATGGAATGTCAGAACAAGGGGCAACGGTTTCAACCTCACAGAGGGCAGGCTTAGATGGGATACTGGGAAGAAATTCTTCCCTGTGAGATCGGTGAGTCTCTGGCACAGGTTCCCCAGAGAAGCTGTGGCTGCCCCATCCCTGGAAGCGTTCAAGGCCAGGCTGGACAGGGCTTGGAGCAATCTGCTCTCGTGGAAAGTGTCCCTGCCTGTGGCAGGGGGTTGGAGTGAAGTCAACTTCAAGGCTTCTTCCAAACCAAACCATTCTGCAATTCTACAAAGAGGTCTCAGAGCCAATATGATAAAAATCCCATCCTGCAGCCTGGCACACAGCTCTGTGAAGAGAGGGTCTGCTGGGAGGTAAGCCAGCTCCTGTTGGCACCTGCACCATTAAAATCACCTTCCAGGTTATGGCTTTCCCTCCGCATATGGGGAGTAACATCCCATATGGGCTGCATTTCCCTGGTTTATCTTGATGAGTGACCTCAGAAAGTAAAGGCAGGGAAAAAGGTAGACTTATCTTCAAGTTGGACTAAGTAAGAGAAGTAAAACAAAGAGCAAGAAACACACAATCAATTGGAAATGAGGAGGGAAATGCCAAGAGATGTACTAGAGATGTGATAGTAGTCAGGAAGAGGAGGCTGCTGAGGCTGCAGCCTGGAGGGAAGGAGAGAAGACACTGAATGGATCCCTTTGCTGTGAGCTGAGTGCTGCAGGGGGATGGAGCAGTTGGTGATGCTGGAGAAAGGCTTTGGGATGGCTGAGCCCCTGCTGGGTGGCCTGACTCAGCCATGGGACACCAGGGACATGGAGCAAGGACTGGGTGTTGTGGCTGTTTGCAAGCCAGGATGGGAGGATTCAGCTGCCCTGAGCCCAGGTGGGTGGCACTGCTGATGGTGGCAGGGAGGGAAGCTCATTGCCCCGGGTGGAATGGAAAGCATTCAAGGAAAGCAATGCTGGAGCTGCAGGAGGAGCAGCACCAGCAGAAGTGCTCCATGCCAAGAGAACCAGAGCTTCAAAGCGGGGGAGGAGGAGGAGAAGGAGGAGGAGGAGGACAAGGAGGAGGCTCTCATGCGAAAGCAATTTCACTGGGCAGAAAAGGCAGCAGTAAACTGAGCCTGAGCTTGTTTCCCAGCTCACCAAGGGGGAAGGAGCTGGGAGCAAGGATGTGGGCTTCAGCAAGAATTGCCTGAGGTGGGGGATGGAGGGTGAAGACACTTCTGGGCAGCAAAGCCCTGCGGGGCCTCTGCTCAGAGGGAGGAGAAGAAGCAGCTCCTTGCAGAGTGCTCTTCCTTTGAAGGACTGGGCAAGAGCTTGGGAAAAAGACAACTGCAAAACAGAGGTTTAAAAATCCCCTAGAAAGAAATAAGGCGAGGTGCTGCTGGGTGCTGCACCCAGAGCCTGTTTGCTCCTCCAGGGACCTTCCAGCATGTTCACTGTCTCACATGGAGGAGCCGAAGGAGCGTGCCTGGCAGTGGGGACCGGGTGGCTGTGCTGTTCTGGGGAGGAACCATTGCTGTGAGGATTAGGTCTCAGCAGCTGGAGGCCGGGACAGGATCTTTATTCAGGGTTAAGAAGCATTAGGAAGGGATGATAAGAGTTAATCCCAGACAGGCATCTCTCAGGCCTCCGGAAATCACATCCTTCCAAATCCTGCTCCCGTCGGGGTGGGCTGGGGCAGGAGCCCAGAGTGCACCAGGACAGGCAATGGCAACCCAGGGATTGCAGAAGGACCAGACAAGGACTGGCAAGGGATCCAGCCCCTCCTGCCACTGCTGCAGGACAGAGCCAGAGGGAGCACTTGATCTCATCCCATACCTCTTTCTCCAGGTGTGGGCGAGTCACCAGGTACTTTGGAGCCTTCCTGTGTGCCCTGTTCCAGGATACTCTGCTCTGTTCACTTGCTCCTAATCTCAAGCCCTGCCTACGCTCTTCTTCCACCTTACTGCCCTGCAGCTGTTCCCAGGCAGTCCCCAGCCCCTCAGAGCCCTCCGCCCCCCACCCTGTCCCCATCTCCAAGAGCAGAATGGCTCATACCAGCAGGAGATCAGGGCAGCGATAGGCACCCGCCCCTGTTAATAATTAACAGAGAATCTGGTACGAATTCTCCTTTTTTTTAAGTGACACTCCTTCCCTCTACCAGTGCCACCCAAACCGTCCTTCCAAGTGCAGTTCAACAATTAACCACCTGCTGATGACGTGAGCAGAGCCACCAGACAGAAGGGACAAGGGGTGATTTCGGAGCAGCTCTGTGCAGCAGTGGGAGAGGTGCTGCCACGACGGGGAGCTCTGTGGGAGCAGCTCCTGACTCTCCTCCAGGGACCAGCTCAACCCCACAGTGGGGGATGCCAGGAGCCCCTGGTGCACTGCCCAGGCATGGGGCAGAGGTGATGCCAGGGTGGGCTCCCCGTGCCCCTGGCACAGCCACTCACCATTACTGTGGTTGCCCGTCTGGAGGGATGCAGAGGGCTGCAGGCTGCCCCCCAAGGACCCGTAGCCACGGTAGCTGTAGTTCAGGCTTCCATTGATGTAGACTGGGTCTTGGGAGTAAGATGAAGCTGGCAGTGAGTAGGAGGAGTGGGTGATGGCTGTGGAGTCTCTGGAGTGCTGCTTGTCTAGAGCGATCGGTTCGTCCTGCACAGGGGAAACACAGACCTATTCCAGCGAGGAGCCTGGCTGTCCTCTGTGGCCAGCAGGATGGACAGTGCAGGATGCCTGGCGTCCTGCAGCTGCAGTGTGCCCAATCCAACCCAGCATTCCCATCCCCACTGGCCTCAGGACACACCACAGGGCTCTGTTCTGCAGCCCCTCAGACTTTCAGAAAGACTTTTGACCCCACCACAGGACACCACCAGTTCTGTTCCCTGCCCATCTCCAGCTGCCAGCACTGTACCTGGGAGGTCTGGTAGATCTCCAGCCGCATCCTCTTGGCTGCTTTCCGCGTTTCGCTCTCGCAGGCGGCGGCCAGGATGTTCTCTGCCATGGCTGAGGTCAGGTGAGGCGGCGTGGGCCTGGTCTGCAGGGACACAAGCAGAGAGGATGCTCAGGGATGTGCTGCTCTGGGTGCTGGGACTAAGGGCAGGGCACTGGGGCGGCCACTCACCATCTCCATGCCGTTCTTCTTCATGCGGCGGCAGGACTTGAGGTAGGTGCGGATGCGCTTGCGCGCCCGCTCCTGGAACTCTGGGAACTGCCGGCTGCAGGACTCGATGATGGCCTGGATCTTCTCCTTGGGCTGCTTGGAGATGGGAACCATCCGGTCCAGGTTCTCGTCCACAAAAAGGCGCACGAACATCTGCAAACATAGAAGACAGGTGGTGGGAACCCTGAGATGGAAGGCAGGCGGGCTCACCCTCCCTGTGGAGCTCTCCTTACATTGAAGGCCTTTAGCCTCTCTGGGTCCATTCCCTCCGAGTCATTGATCTTATCATTGTCTTCATGGTCGTCGTGGTCATCGTCATCTTCATCAGCTGTGGGGGCCCTGCCGACAGTCAGGTCCTCGGGGCAGCCGCTCACCTCTGTCTTGATGGAGTCATAGCTGCCAGAGCTGTACGGTGGGGACTGAGAGGAGACAGGGGTTACCACCAGCAGCTCTCACCTCATGCACCTGCCCTTTCTCCTTGTCTTGCTACATCTGATCCCTCCCCTGCAACCCAGGGAGATGAACCCATGGCCAGGCTCCCCTGCATGTCACCTCCTGCCTGCTTTGGGCAGGGGGGAGCATGGTGGCCTCAGCAAGCCTATGATAACCTGGTGGCCCCATGGCAGCTGTGGCTGGTGGGGCCATGGCTCTGCCTGGTCCTGTGGGAAACACTGCCTGACCCAGCATGAATGGGCTCCTTGTCACATGGTGGCTGTGGCACAGCTGGTCAGGGGTGAGGTGAGCCCACTGCAGTGCCCAGCTCTGGGGCAGCTGGGGTGTGGGGCATGTGCTCTCCCAGAGCATCCCAGGCCGTACCTCTGCTGAGGTCTTCACCCCGTACTTGACCCTGCTGCGCAGGCCGTCGGCACTGCAGCTGTCAGACTGGTAGGAAGGGGTGATGTGGGCAGGCGTGAGCTTGTCGCAGAGGTTGATGGGCTGGTCGTCAGCGGAGGCGGTGAAGTCCATGGGGGCTGTGGTGCCATTGCCGTTCATTTCGGGGAAGGCGCTGTCGCCCTGCGTGCTGCTGGAGGTGGAGGGGTTCAGGGTGGAGGAGCCATTCCCGCTGCAGCTTTCTGACGAGGAGTCATCTGCAAGGAAGGGTGTGTGTCAGACCCTTGGCACCCTACGACCACCTTCCCGAAGGTGCTCTGGGCTCACTTGGTGGCTGAGTTACCCCTGGGAGCCAGGCTGGCACTACTGCACTTTGGGCCCTGGGATGCAGCAGATGCTGGTGTCCATGCCTGCAAGGCCATTGTCACAGGGATCCACTCCCTCATCCCTCAAAGCACAACAGGTGCTGCTGGGCATGTGCCCCATGCCCGAGCCACCCATCCCTCCGCAGGTGACAGTCCCCACGCCTCCGCCCTAGGCTATGGTGCCTGGGCTTGAATAAGAACTTTGGAATTTGGTCCTTTTCAGTTTCTGTTTGCATTGCAGGGAGGAGAAAGGGACACTGCCTCTCCCTGCCAGGTCCCCTGCCATCCTCCTGGCCCAGTTTGGGGCTGGGTGCAATGGGAAGTGACAAGTTCCAGCACTGGTGGTTAAGGGACATGCAGTTCTGCAGAGTGCTGGGCCATGGAGATGACACATGAGGACAGGCTCATTTGGGTAGGAAAACCCTGAATCCATGGTGCCTGGAAGCAGCATTAGGAGCTCTGCTCACAGCTGGCACCACCCAGCAAGGCTCCTCCTTGGCATGCTGCTGCAGGGAGGGGACAGGGGCTGCACGATGTCCTTCCTGTCTCACTCAAAGCCCAAGTGACCTACACCCTACATGGACACTCCTGTTCCCAGTTTCCACATGCCCTAGAGCCATCCCCACAGCAGATGCAAGGCCTTTTCCCCACCACACAGGGGTCAGGGTCCTGGCAATGGTGGTGCCCCGCACACCCAGTGCACAGACCTTGGCTGCACTCACACCCCAGGCCCTGGCACCATCGCCCTGCCTGCGCCTGCTCCCACCACGGCAGCTCCTGAAGAACAGCCCAGCAGTGGCAGAGAGCCCAGCACTGCCTGCACCCACCCTGCCTGCACCTGGCCAGGGAGCCCAGCCCTGGGGCCAGGCACGACATTTCAAACTGCTCAGCCTGTTCCCTTCCCTCCCCCTCGCCGCAGTAAATCCTTTATTTCATTAGGTGCCTCTGCGAGAGGGAAAGGGCGAAGCACGTGGGAGCCGCTTCCTGCGCCAGCGTGCGCCGGGCGGTGAACAAAGAAGCTGTCGGCAGCGACGAGCAGATGGCCGTCCCCGCGCCCGGCCCGGCCACCGTGGGACAATGGGCCGGGGCCGTGGGGCAGCCGCAGCCCCGCGCCGATGGCTCCTGGCACATGGGCGCCAGGTCCAAAGGTGTGCAGGCGCAGGGCGGCGGGATGGTGCCCAGCTGCTGCCATCCACCCTCCTCCTCCTCCTCCCCCTGCCAGCACCTGCGGGAAACTTTCCTGCGAGGCTGGGCGAGCGCTGCGGTGACCCTGCGGTGGCCCAGGACTTTGTATCCCTTAAAATAAACACACTTGAGGACACTGGGGCATCCCAGCCGACCGTGGGGCCGGCTGGGGCTGCTGCTGCGTGTCCCCAGTCACCCCACCACGGGTGCCAGCGCTCGCTGCCCAGCCTCGCGCCTGCGCCAAGGCGGCTCCTGGCCCCATGAGCCCCTAAATTAAAAGGTCCCTACTGGAGCTCCCCGCTCAGCAGAGCTCCCTCCCCCTCCTTTCCCTTGTGCTGATCCACTTATTCGTCTGAGCGATGACCAGAGCTGACCTAATCCCGGGGTGGTGTTTATGTGCCGGGTGCTCGGGGCCGGTGGCAGGCGTCACCCGCCCCACCACGGGGCTGGGTCCTGGCAAAAGCCCTTGGTGCCAGCTCGCTGTGCCAGGGAGTGCGGGGCTCCAGAGGCGCTCAGCAGCCAGCACTTATCCAGGGGCACCCTCCAAGCTGCCTCTCCAAAACGAGCTCCAGTCTCCTGTCCCAGTTTGCAGTGGTGGGGATGCAGTGGGTGGCTGCATCCCACAACATGTCCACATGTTCCTCCTGCATCTGGAGGAGCAGGGTGTTGGGAGCACCGCCATCTCCTGCCCCTACACCCCTCCTGGCCCAGAGCACTGGTCTGGCGCTGAGTCCCCCAGGGTTTTGCTGTCCCTCGGCACGGGTGCAGGAGCAATGCTGGCTTGGCTGTGGCCCCAGCAGGAGCGGGCAGGTGGCCGGGGGCACAGAGGCCTCCCTACCCAGGATGGCGGCTGTCCCTCCCCCAGCACTGCTCTCTGCGCCAGGGGAGATGGGGCTCCCAGAGGGAGGCTCCAGTCTCATCCAGCGATGCCTCTCGGAAGGATTAAGGAGAATTATTCCCATGCACGGAGGCACGAGCTGTAGGCCAGGCCCCACCATGGGCCCGGGCACAGCCACAGCAACAGCGCTGGGCCAATCGGTGCCGTGGCCAGGATGATGGCGGGGACCTCCTCCCTCAGCTCCCCTGGCATGGCTGCCTGCACCAGCAGGGCTGGGGGCCCACCATGGCACAAAATCCCTGCCAGGTAAGGGCACCAAGAGAGGCCTTTGCCTCTCTGGTCACCTGGGAGAAGAATGTGCAGGTGCCCTGAGCATCCCCAACTTGGCCTGCACATCCCCAAACCTGTCCTGGGCATCCCCAGCCTCCTCTGGGCAACTCTGCAGGGATGAAAGCATCCTCAACCTGCTATGAGCAACCCTAGACATCCCCAGTCTGCCTTAACTACCCCCACTCCCCCTGGGCATCCCACTCTGCCCTTGCCCATCCACCTCCAGCCTCCTCACAGCCCCCACCTCTGGCCCCCCATTCCTGTAGGCAGTGACAGTCCTGCACTGGCTGCTGACACCAGACAGGATCCTGGGGTGACACCTGGACCTCCCTGATTCCTCCACGTCTCAGGTTTTCTTTTGTGTCACACAAAACACACACAGCAGCAGCTGCACGTCAGGTTTCCACCCGATGCTGCTGCATTTACGAACCCTGGGTCTGTTACAGGCAAAAGATATTGCAAACAAAGAAGAAGATGTCTCTAGGAACCTGCCAGGTGGGATAAGGAAATGAAATGGGAATCTAATATCAGTAGCCAGCACCTACTAAAAGAACAGTTTAGTTTACACAGGGATGGATGTACGTAAATAGTGAGGTTTTTAAACCCATGAGCTACAGATATTTTCTTATTTCTGTATTATTACATTATGCTCTACCAGAAGCTCCACACACAAAGTGGTGGGTTAATCTCAGTATTGTGAGCAGAGAAATGGTCACAAATTCAAATTGCTGAGTCCTTGGGTCCAAGTGGGAATGGCCTCAGCCTGTTTGAAAATGCAGACGAGCTCAGGAGGGAGCTGCAGTCTCCTTGTTGGGATGCATGGGCTGGGGATGAAGATGGGAATGAAGCTGCTCTCTGGGCAGCTTCACTGGGATATCTCCAGCCCTCAGTCATTCCTGAGAGGAGCTGGGGAGTGAGACCTGGGGAAGAGAGAGCAGGAGCATTCCCACCTTGGGTGCTGGGACCAGATTTAGGCTCCTGCGTTGCTTTGGCAGCTGTGTCAGGACTCTGAGCAGTGGTGAGGCTGTGTTGACCACACTCCATTTCAGCAAAACCCACCAACATCTGGAGCTCAAAGAGGTTTTCTGCATCTCCCAGCAGTGCCCAAAGCACATGTCAGGAGCAGGGCTCCAGCAGCAGCAGGCGAGCAAGGCCAGGCTGTGCAGCCATGAATATATTCATTATCAACCAGCACGAGCCTGGTGAGCTCCCTGCTCACGGCTGGAGCTTGGCTGCACGAGGAGCCCCTCTAATGAGGATAATTGGGAGCCCCCCTGCTCCACCCCCGTGCCCTAATTGAAGCAGATGGAACTGCAAAAACAATGTCACTTCTAACCGGTTTGATCTTTCGGTTGGAAAACGGGACTATTTCGTTCTCCTGTTTAATCCCCTCGAGCTGGGGCTCCTTGGGCTGCATGGAGGTGGAGCAGCCCCTGGCACTGTGCAGGAGAGCTGAGGCTGGAGAGCCCAACAGAGGCAGCTGGCCCTGAGGTCCACGGAGTGCTGCCCTCTTCGGCCCCTCTGCAGAGGCCAGACCACGACAGGGCACGTGGTGAGGCTGGTGAGGTGGCGGTGGGGGAGCAGCCTTGTGCCTCTGCTGCAGCCCCGGCATCTCCCCGGCATCAGCCCAGGAGAGCAAGAAGCAAAATGGCTTCTTGGGCCGCGGTGCTGGGGGAGGAGGGGATCAGTCACTTATTAAATGAATTAATCAGGGCTCAGCGTTTTCATTTTGAAGAGGCTGCTGGATTATCCTTGATTTCTGTGGCACTGGATTTGAGGAGATCAGGAGGGGAAGGGGCGATTTCCAACACCTGCTCCCCGGGAGATTTTATGGCGGGGAAGTGGTTGGGTTTAACGTCTCTGCCGGCGCAGGCCACCGCACCACTCTCCAGAGCAGAGTTAAAGATGAATGGGGCAAATTGTTCCTCCTCCTGTCACATCTCCAGAGCGGAGACAAAACCTCTTTTGACTCAGGAAACAATGAGCTTATGTAAGAGCCAGCGGCCCACGGAAACCTCGCCGCAGCCCCGCACCATGCAGTGGGCCAGGGTCCACCCGGCCCTGCCCACATCCCGCTGCTTGGGACCCCTGGCCGGCCTTGGGGCAGCCCTCCCTCAGCTGCTGCCCACCTGCCCGGGCGGTTGTGGGTGTCACAGCCATGCCAGGTCCCACCAGTGACCCTTGGTGCCCCACGGGCCATCATGGATCCAGCAGCCATTGCCCTGCCTGCTATGGCTCCATGGGTGATGGCAGCGGTTCTGCCACACCTGACTCTTCCTGTGGCTCGCGGGTGGGTCTGTCCCATTTCCAGCCTGCCGTGGCACCGGAAAAGGATGGAGCTGCACACCCAGCCTGGGAGTGGCCATCAGGAGGGCATAGAGCATCCCACCGCCGCCCGCCTGGAACAACAGCCAGGAAGATGAAAAGTGCCATAAATTATTCACTCACAAAAGAGACAAGAAGGGAGAAGAAGGGGAGGAGGAAAGCCTGCGAGGAAGGGATACTTAATACAAATTAGAGAGACCGAGTGGGAATGGGG